CTGCAGTGTGTATATGATTGACTCATTTGTGTATGATCTGAAAGCATTGTTTGATTTTGAGTGCTGGTGACATGGTTTTGAAGTAATTGTTGATTTTGCCAGAAGATTCAGAGGTTTTGTGAATTTAGTTTGAGTATTTGGATTTGTGTTTAAGGTTTTGAGAAAATGAGTGGTGGTTTTAGCAATTCAGAAAAACAGTCTAATATCAATAATTTACACTTTTGTTGATTGTGCAGGTGACAGCACATCCTCTAAAAAAGTGTTTCCTTGATTCCTCTCTCCTCGCATCTTACGTGGGTGAGAGAAAGATGCAAGGAAGAGACAAGTGAGGGAAACATGGATGCATATATGAGATTTGGGATGCACCTGATGTGTCAATACAGAAGGTAGGGTACCACATTGTGTCTGATACTGTGAGGAACATGAGTAAATGTTACCATACCTGTTACCCAGGACGTTTCCCTGTCATTTAAATACTGGTTATGCTGTGACCGATCAGGGTTCAACACATAACCTGTGGTATGTCTCTGGTCAAGTCGCATCAAGATCTAAGACTGAAATAATCCAACACAGGAACCACCTCAAAAGACAAAAATATTATGTTGTCTCAAAATGGAATGAGATAATTTGACTTTGTTAATTTTTGACCAGGATATGTCCTTTAAATCACACATAAACCAAGTCTCTAGATCTGCCTTCTTTCACCTGTACAATCTCACCAAAATCAGGAGCATCGTGTCTCAAAGTGATGCTGAAAAACAGGTCCATGCATTTGTTACTTCCAGGCTGGACTACTGTAACTCTTTACTATCAGGATGTCCCAATAATTCCCTAAAAAGCCTCCAGTTAATCCAAAATGCTGCAGCCAGAGTACTGACAGGAACTAGCGAGAGAGATCATATCTCTCCTAGATTAGCTTCTCTCCACTGGCTCCCTGTAAAATCCTTCTCCTAACATACAAAGCCCTTAATGACAAGGCTCCATCGTATCTTAAAGACCTTGTAGAGCCTTATCATCCTAACAGAGCACTTCGCTCTCAGAGTGCAGGTTTACTTGTGGTTCCTAGAGTCCACAGAAGTAGAATGGGAGGCAGAGCCTTTAGCTATCAAGCTCCTCTCCTATGGAACCAACTCCCAGTCTCAGTTCGGGAGGCAGACACCCTCTCTACCTGTAAGATTAGACTTAAGACGTTCCTTTTTGATAAAGCTTATAGTTAGGGCTGGATCAGGTGACCCTGAGCCTTCCCTTAGCTATGCTGCTATAGGCCTAGGCTGCTGGGGGGCTCCATGATGTTCTGAGCACCTGTCCTCTCGTCTAAATTTAAGCTAACCCTTAAAAAAATTCTGGAGAAATCATCACTTTAAAAGGATTATTTTATTTTTTGTTTCTTACAAAACAACCAATATGCAATGTTTTTATAGGAAATAACATTGATAATATAGCAATTAAGATATATACAACAAGAAATATATGACATTCTAAAACAAATAAATAAATAATTGTACAGAGGTTTTGTTTGTAGTGTAGTACCTGAAGGTGATGATGGCATTTACAGTGGAAAAATAACAAGTGTCCAAGAGAAGGGAATGACCTCTACTGCAGCTTTAAAATGATCAGTCTCACTGATGAATGAGGAACCAGTGCGATAACAAATAAATCATGCATTTATGTTTAAGACAAATATGAGATGTTAAAAAAAAACAACTTAAGGTGGTTGAGAATGTGGTGATTAGCTTAGCACAAAGACCAGGAGCAGGGAAAAGGGTGAACCTAGTTTTGTGGAAAAATTTAAACCATGTTTGGAACTAGAGGTATGTCTGGATGAGTACGACAAGATTCTTTATTGTCGTTTTACAACATAACCTCAAGAACTGGACTCAAAACATATATAAAATAGATAAAAAATAGATAAATAAATGCTCATACTCACATCACACCACTCTGTAACCACTCTGTCTCAATAATCCAGTTTTCACAGAGCTTGTTTTTGAGGTGGTTGAGAATGTGGTGATTAGCTTGATCAACTTGATGAACCTGGTTACTGACAGAAATCAGCTCATGTGAATAACCAACAGGTTATCATAGGTCAACATGACAACACTTGCAGCAGCTGGGGATGCAGGACAAACAAATAAATGACAGTTTAAACATTCCCTGCTTCAAATGTTTGTGCTAAGCTTGGCTCTGCACTGGACAAACATACGTGAAGCTGATCTTTGGAGTCAGACTTTGCTCAGTTTGCAAAGAACTTTGGTGATTTCCTTGAGCTTGAACTTTGCAGTTTAATCCTGTTTGGAAGGGTTTTTCTTTTGATGATGCTCTATGCTGCTGGTTCCGGATCACCTGAAGGGTTTACTGGTGCTGACTGAAGGCCAGCTGTTTAGAGTTCGCTGATCTAATTGGGTCTCAACCGCGGGAAATAGGGAGCTGAAAAAACAATGTGAAGTTTTACAATGGCAGACACAGAGTCAAGATAAAAACCAAAAAGATATGGAACTTACAAATGTGGTTAGTATAAAAAATATCAAATGTTAGACTGTTTTTGTCCCACTGTGATCCTCATATAAAACTTCCCAGTGTCTGCTGGATGTCAGATCCTCAGCATTTCACTGTCTGGCTGTAAATCTCTCATGATTTCATTCCTGAAGGTTTACATACATGACTTTAGCTTTTTCTTTTTCTCTTCAGAAATTTGTAGACTCATCTGCTCCAGCTGCAAAGTTTTTGAGATGCAACAGCTGGAGTCCCTGGACAGTTATAAAACAGTTTAATTAAAATCAGTGTCCCAGTGCAAGACATCATTTCACTTAAAATACACTTTCTCTGAACACACAGGGAAATGTCCATGTTTTCACAGATAAATGTCAGGTTCAAATTCAGAACAAGCTGCTTTGATCACTGCAGCATTTCCAGATCATCCATTGAAGGTTTTGGTATGTGTCTCACACAGCTTTGCTCACTGACGCACAAAGCATCATCTGCAACTGCTCAGTTGCAGAGGCTGGATGCATTTTCACATGTTTCCAGTTTTCCTCATGTGCAGGTCTACTGACATGTGAATCTTAGACCAGCTGTGGAGAACGTAGCAGAAAATAACTGAAACATTTGTGCATTCCATCCTAAAGAGAGGAGAAACATTTCTAGGTCTTATTTTTTGAGTTTAAGATATTAAAGGTAATTGAAAAGTCCAGAACATTGTTCATGTGCCCAACTTCATTTTACTTAAATATAACACACCATCTTCAATCCTTACCCTCCTGGAACAGTCAGAACCTGAGTATCCACTCCGGCAGGCGCAGATGTTTGGTCGGACACATCGACTGCCGTAAAGACACTTCTGCTCACAGACAGCTGAGAAATAACAGAAAAATATAAATAAACCACAAGACAAAATGGTGAGATACAGTTATGTAAATTTTTCAAGCAAATTTAGCCCAAGTAGAAACACGACACCCTAGTTTTGACTAGTAGAGTTTATGGCATGGCCAGTGATTTACAGAATTTGTGTCTGTATGTTTTGTAGTAATACTCACGGATCTGGCATAGCATGCCTTGCCAGCCAGGGGTGCACTGGCAGATGTTGGGGCCCACGCACTCACCTCCATTCAGGCACTTCTGGAGACAAGTAGCTGGGAGGCAACACAATTAGCATTAGAGCTGTGTTCAAATCACCAAAAATGAGGACCTGAGAAACGACTTGGACTTGACTACCTGACTTGCACCCGGCTGATTAACTGGATGTGAGCATTGGCTTAATGAACCTCCCTGAGTCTTCTGGCTTTCTGTCTTTTTGCCAACAGTAGCTTCAGCAGTCTCACTGAGAAGTCCACAGAACAGCCCCATAAAACACTGTGGACTTTGGAACTAATGTTTCCCGTATGTGAAGCATCTGTCAGCCTGGAGGCTCCAGATGTTCACGTCTCTGCTGGACAGTGTCGCCATACCTGCTTCTGTTTCAGTGTGTTACAGCAAGATGATAAAACATTCTGATGGTCAGTTTCAGAATGAAATCCATCTGGGGTAGTGGTGTATCTTTCTGTCCGGTGTATCGTTTTGTCTGACACAGTGTCTTTTTAATACCACCAGTCTGTCCTGAAACAATTTGTCAATCCATAGATGAGTCAGTATCTTTGATTTGTGAGTAATTATTTAAGCCACCTATAAAACAACAACGTCAAACCAAATTCCGGCTTCTCAAATGTCAGGATTTGCAGCTTTTCTCTGTGTTAGATCATTGTAATGTGCCTGTCTTTGGGTTTTGTGCTGTTAGTTAGACAAAAATTTGAAAATGTCACCTTGTCTTGTAATGGGAATTTGATCCAGTTTTTCATATGGACTAAGCACTTAATGGGTTAAAAATGATAAATGGTTTAGTCGCTAACAGTCAGGTGCAGCCTGACTCCCACTAGGATTCTTCTATGTCAAATATTCCAGTCATAGTTTCAAATCACTTATCTGTACACATTTTTAGTAACTATACTTTGATCATACTCATTATTCTGGAGGATGATGATGTTGGGAAGAACATGTATGTGTGACACTTACGTTTATCACATCTCTTTCCTGGCCAACCTGATGGACAATCGCAAACGTCTGGACCAACACACCTGCCGCCGTTCATACACATGGGCTCACACACACCTGGGCAGGGAGAATGAGAGGAAGTCTTTATAACTACAAAACAGTGAGTGAAGCTCAAACTGACAGGGAATTTAAAATCATACAAAAGCTTAGTTTTTCCTAGTTTGGTGTCGTCTTAAAGACGTTCATCTTTCTGGTCTTCTTCTCTTATCGCTCCTCATACAAACACCACCATGTTGAGAATGAGCTGAAATTTTCTGAGGTAATGTGAATAATGATGAGGATGAATAAGAGAAGAAGACCAGAAAGATGAACAATAAAATGATGATGGGAAGGAGGAGAAGGACTGACTTTTCTCACAGCGTGTCCCTGTGTATCCCTGCAGACAGGAGCAGATGTTGCTCCTCATACAAACACCACCATTTTTACAGGGAGGATTGCAGACAGCTGGAGGTGGAAGACGAGTGAAGAACATAACACCAAGCTCAACAGTGGGAAATTTGAGAGTTTTAAAGTGTTTTGGACTTTAGCAGTTTGAGCAGATTTTTAAAAACGTTCTACATTTGTAGTATGATCCTGACTCAAGAATACCGATGTGTGAAGTTGGAGACTTACCATTCTGACACTGTGCTCCATAGAATCCATGAGGACACGCGCAGGTGTTGGGCCGAACACATGATCCTCCGTTCAGACATACAGGAGAGCAGAGAGCTGGACGGTGATAAAGCACTGAGAAGTCAGCACAGACACACACACACACACACACACACACAAAAATAACACACTCACCAGTCTCACAGGACGGTCCGGTCCAGCCTGACGGACACTTACACTCGTCTGAAGACACGCACTGACCTCCATTGTGACAGTGACGGCTACACACCACTATGATCAACACAATATTTATCAGGCTCATGATGATAATAGCATTCACTTGTTTCTTAAAAGGAAACTAAATCAAAAATTGATATCTACTCCTGTATAGGACAGTAAAATATACACATATGATCATTAAAACCTAGGTAATGTACTACATTTGTAAGTTTTAACTACATCTCCCACAAGCCTTAGCAGTTTTTCACAGCATACATCATCTTTCTCTGCAATTTTGTTACTGAATAAATGACATTACAGGAGCTGGAAACTCACAGGTCTCACATTGAGGGCCAACAAATCCATAAGGACAGGAACAAGTCTGCAGCCCCACACAGATGCCTCCGTTTTCACATGGTGACCTGCACGGAGCTGCAGAGATGGATTTATAATAGCTCATCTACAGTATAAGCCTATGTGCCAGTGTAATTATTAGTTACCTCTGTATTCTGTTAAATGTGTTGGTAGCGGGACCAAAAACTTGTACAATGAATAGAAAAATATTTCCTCCCAAGACTTTTTTATAATGTTTTGGGAAGATGCAGGTTTATTTTCAGGCATATTTACTTATTATTAAAGACAGCACACTGATGAGATCTGTGACTGGGATAACTGGGAGACTGGGAAGCTAACCTTACCTTCCTGACAGGTTTCTCCATGAAAACCTCTGGGACACTGACACACGCCTGGAGCCAAGCAAACACCCCCGTTCATACACTCTGGCTCACAGATTGCTAAGAAAATAGGGAGGAACAAAAATGAGCAAAGGACAACCAACATAAAAACCATTCCAGCTAAATACTGATTATTATATTATGAGTTACTTATTTATTTACCTGTCTGACAGTCAGATCCAGTGTAGCCCGGTTTGCAGCGGCATGTGTTTGGTGCGGCACACTCCATGTTTCCTCCACAGGTATGTCTGCAAACAGCTAATAACACAGACGTGGAGATGTTAAACCTGTGTGCATCTTATCTTCTGTTTAAGTTCTATTAACAAGACACATAGATCAAGGAGATCATTTGTGAGCCATTAATCATTAATGGCACCTGATCAGTCAACTCTAGCAACTGTATGTTCTGTCGTGTTCAAGTCCCAGTTACTTTATTGTACAAAATTTTCCAAAAGGTAACAAAAATGTTGTATTTGTCTGTCACACCTCGACAGGCTCGCCCATCTCCAGTGTATCCTACAGGACACCTCCCACAGCGGAACCCCCCATCTATGGCTGGTTCACACTGGACTCCAGGAAAACAAGGCCGGTCAGCGCAGGTCATCACATGTTTGCCTGCTGTTGTACCACCCCTCAGCCCTGGCTGGATGGAGGCAGCTCTCTGGAGGGGGGGGCTGTAGATCGTCTTGCCCACGGTGAAGGTCACCACCGGGGCCATCTGCGGTGTCTCTGGGTCTTCGGATCCAGGTTCAGCCTCGTCTCCACCCCCGGAGAACTCTGACTCAAACGGTGAGTAGGACAGAGCGGTGAGGGCTGCGGTAAGTGGGAGGGCAGGGTTTGGAGGGGTCCAGAGTTTGGCCTGGGTGGATGTCAGGCGGTTGAGCTGAGGCTGGATTGTCTGTCTGGACTGTGTCACCTCACCAGACTGAGTAGAGAGGTGAGGAGCTGGAGGGGTTACCTTAAGAGGTGTGGTACCAGCCAGTGCTGCCTCCTGCTGAGAGATGATCACAGAGAGGTTACTGGATGTTTATTCATGCATGTCTTCCTTTTTGAGTCCTGACTGTATTCATGACTTTCCTGTAAAGGGTGCACAGTGCAGAAGTAGACTCACCTTGGAGATTGTCACATGGGATGCAACAGACTCTCTGGAGGCAGCGATGCTAGTTCTCATGTATGTCCTGGTGTATGATCTTGGACTGTAAATTTGGCTGGCGATGTTAGAGTTTGCAATGACCGCCTCTCTCCTCCCGGTCCCACCTCCCCTCCCTGGTGTGGGGGCCTGGCGTGGTGCACTATCTCGGTTTGCTCTGGTGACAGACAAGGATAGGTGTTTGATAATGTGCCTGGGGGGCAGCTCGGGCAGATGGAGCTGAGTTGCCTTGCTGCTGCCTCCATGTGGGAATCGGCTGGTCTTGCTTTGTGTCTGTTGCTGAAGAAGGTGATTGGATGCTGAGGAAAGACAGGAGGTGACATCAGTACCTTTGGCAAAGTTCTCCCTCCTCCGATCAGTTATTATCCAAGCTAATTAATTAATTGTAACTAGGACAAATGGAACAGCAGATCTGTAAAACTTTGGATTTCTCAACATGTTACAAAAATGTGTATGGGGTTCTAGTTAAAGTAATGCTCTGTATATAAAGATTTTGGAACTTGTTGTCCTGTTTTTATCCTTTTAAAAAACAAAAAATACAAAAATATTAGTATAAGGTGTGGGTTAAATTGTGTGTTTGCTCTAACATACGATGCAAACATTAGCACATCTGGCTAACATACTACCTGCAGCAGTAATCTGGCTTTACCTTTAGAATTAAAGAGCCTCTCATGTGGAGGGAAATGTTGGCAGCTCTTACACCAACAACTCCAGCCAAACCTATCAACTGAGTTAGGTTTTACAAACACCTTTTCATCTTAGAGACCTCTTCTCTTGCATTGTTAAAAGTGGAAACTTATTGTTTTTTAATATGAAAAAAGAAGCATATAAAGCTAACTTCTGTCTCCCTTTTCAAAGTATTTAAGCTAAGCAGCCAAACAGGGATTGGTCAGAAAGACCGGACTAAGCCTAGAGTTTAAAACAGAAGAGAATAGACAATACAAAACTGATGTCTTGTTTGAGGCTGACTGATCTGCAGAAACAGTTTGCCTCGTCTTTTGATGTGTGCTACATCCAGGCAGTGTAACTGCTTACATTGATTTATCTGCTGCAATAAATGACATTCCTTTCAACCAAGAAAACACATAAAACAACATCAGGGAAACCAAAGTATTATAAAATTTAACGTCGCCCCAATGTCTCCAGGAATTTCACATTGCATTTCCTCTGAAAAACAGCATTCAAGAGTGTTTTATAATAAAAAGGAGACTTTATTTAATTTGAAATGTTTCCATTTTCTCGTAAATTAATTTTATTGCAATCTAGTACTAGTGATCGTTTTCTCATTTTAATGTAGTTTTAATTAAGGTAATTTCATATTTTAAATGGTGAACTTTTAAATAATATGATCTTTGATAAATAGAACTTTAGTATGTCTGCACAATAACACACTATTTGACTGGAGGAGTTGAAAACCAGCATCCCTTACCTGCCTTGGCATTCTTCATGCAGATGCGTCCATTTCCGTAAAGGCCTGGTGGGCAGCGGCCGCAGACGTAACCGACATGCGGCGGCCTGCGGTTGATACACTGAACCCCAGGGAAGCAGGGCCTGCTGGCGCACGTAGCCGACACATTGACAGCCAGGGGCTGACCCAGTCCTGGAACACACAAACAGCTTTGTATAATTTTAAATATTACTGTAAAAGAAATACAGTTAATAGAGTGTTGGAAATTTTGGCCTTACCTGAAGCTAGCCTGACATGACCCGATGGATGGGCTATCGTGGATGTCTTGGCAATAGTGTTGCTGACTTTGGGCTGATTAGTTTGGACTTGGTCTGATGTCAGTCCTGTGATGTTCTTGAAGGAGTTTGTGTTAGTCCTGGATGTGATGAGGTTAATTCCCTGGGGTTTTCTCCAAGCATCAGTGTCACTTGATGTAACTGCTGTGATGCTGGTTTCAGTTTTAGTGAGGGTTGGGTTCAGGATAGAACCCGGAGTCCTCCTCCAAGTGGTGGGCTTGGTTTGTGATAGGCCCTGCCCTGCCCTGGCCCTCGTCTGTGAGGAGCTACCACTTGAGGTTTTCTGGAAAGTGTTTATTTTGGGTGGTTGCAGCAGAACATCTGGTATCTTGTAGACAGTTGTACAAGGAACAGATGTGGAAGTGATGGTGGCTGGCCTGACAACTGCTGTTTGAAGAAAGACAAATTATATTTTGGGTTCCCATATAATTCCTTTAGGCGTTTGCCTGGAGTAAGTTCCTATTTAACTTGTAGATCACACATTAAAACGAGGTAGAGTTACAGAATAAACTATAGATGGAATAAACCAACTCTGTATGATGATACAATAAAGAAATTGGAGCTTGGTAAAAAAACAACACATGGAAACATCCAAAGTCTGTGTTTAATAAGGCAGACACCCAGTGTGAGATGAAGCTTTACGGACCAAGCTTGTGTAAAAATGTCAACGAGGCTTGATCGCACCTCAGAGCCTACAGTATCAACACATTTACAAGCAGGAAACACCCAGTGATTGATGAGGGCACACTGCAGACATGACAGGTGGTCAACAACCCAGTCTCTGATTTATCTCGCATTCACATGCCCAACATTTTCTGCTTATAGAGGCAGATGACATCATCATAAAACTCCTTTTGTCTGTTCTGATTGGTCCCTGATTTGCTGAATTATGTTTAGTTTTCTTTTCTTTCTGTTGCTGTCTCTTCTTCTCTATTCAGTTTTTGATACTTAAAATTGAGGGATATACTGAAAATAAATGCACTTGTCGGGATTCCTCTGGGCTTTCTCTTAACTTGTCTAAGCGTGGTGATGTTGTGCTGGTAGCATGAATGTAGAATAACTCAGCTTTGATAAACCCTAAAGAACTGAGAATGCAAAAGGGAACTAATTAGTGGTTAGCCTTAAAAAGAAAATGTCTGCATCAGAGAGGAGTTGTCCACAAACCACCAACAATTAGTCCAAGTATAAATAAAGTCAACCTTTATTGATCTACACGCTAGCCCTCATGAGTAATTAAAATCTAGTTATTTAAAAAAGTCTATTCAACCTTTCATCATTAATTCCTTTTTTACAGATTCCAAGCTGCTGAGAAGTGTTTACTGTGAAGCACCTGGGGACGTGGAACACCTAAAGACACAAGGTTTATGAGCCTCAGACGTTTTGGTAGTGCCGTAGTAGTATGCAAATATGACAGAATCACAGAAAAAGAAAACTTCTGTTTTCAGTGCTTTAACTCCAGTTAGCAGTTGCTGCAATACAAAGTGAGCACATGGAGGGAGGCAGCAGTATCATCTGCCAGCAGTCATCTGATTTCTGTGTCCTTCCTTAGTGTTCCCTTAGAGTTGCATTCACCCTCACACTTTGGACATTTAGCTGATGCTATTATGGAAACTATTTTGTTTGATATAACAACAGCATAAGCTACGGCATTTTGGGTTACATGCAAAAAAAGACTAAGAATATTATAATCAACATCAGGGCTTATAATTATATGTGGTAAAGAAGTGCTGGGAAATGAATGCATGGACAGATAAGTCTGTTTTGTTTGTACAGAATTTCAAAGAACAGCAGTATATCATAAACTTATCAGAATCCTGGCAAAAGCCATATACAGTATGCCCACACTTACCCATACATGTTGTCCCATTTCCCAGCATGCCTTTGGGGCAGGGGCCACAGCTATAAGAGCCAAAGTTATTGAAGCACTGGACTCCTGGGAAACAGGGCTTCTTTTCACACTCATTGATATCTTCCAGGCATGTTAACCCTGCCAAACACACACACACACACACACATAGGAAATTAATTCTGCACTTATGAACTGTAACTGAGATGGATTCTCTACCGTTGCAACACATGATGCCAAAACAGCCAGACACAAGTAAACAAAACCTGCTTTTTAAAAACATTTTCAGCTCTTACCTCTCAGCCCTGCAGGACACTCGCATCTGTATCCACTGGCTGTACTGACGCACTTCCCGACTGCGCATGGATCTGACAAACAGTTGTCTACATTTTCAGTGCAGCGTTTCCCCTGCGTACCCTCAGGACACACACACAGGTAGTTCCCACTGCCAGCAGGGAAGTTGACATCTGTCACACACGTGCCTCCATTCTGACAGCCACATGGCACCACATCAACCTGTATTACAGACAGCAGGAGATTCTGCTTGTTTTTACTGCTATATGTATAATATTTAACAATCAGGGTATCAAAGTAAAAGGGTGTTTAGTTACTAAGCTGTGACTAAGAACCTAGTTGGATCTGGGTGAGTTGAGACAAACATGATAAAACACAAGCCACTGCAGAGCTGAAGATGTCTTCAGTAATTATACAGGGCCCTTGTAATTAATGTCCCCATGATGTCATGTGGACTGCACTAAACCAAATGTTGATTTTTTTTTTAAATAATTCATCCTAAATTGGAATATTTTCTGTATCTCTGGTCTCCCCTCTCCTTCTCCAACTTTACCTCTACAGTGAAAGTGCTCTGGGCGTTGCACTCATCGGACAGTGTGAAGCGGAAGGATTGGCTTGTTTGACGTCCCTCGTCCTCAGGAAGCAATGGCACCCTCCAGATGAGGAGGCCAGCTGGGGAGAGGACGGCCCCCTCTGGCCCGTCCTCCAGCTGGAAGAGGAGTGCCGAGCCCTCGGGGTCTGATGCTGCAAACTGGAAAACAAAGTTCTCCCTGACAAATGTCCGCAGATTGCTTTGAGGTCGATGGAAGGTTGGCGGCTCGTTGACTGAAGAGAGAAGAGGAACAAGCAGAGAAACAAGCTATTGGGGAGTGCTGAAATATATTCATGATGCAATTTATATGTAATTTTCTTCCAGTGTAGCAGGGTGTTCGGTGTCTGTGTAGAAACACCACCTGCTTTGAAGACATTCACTTGTATTAGAAGAAGAAGCTTTATTTTATTGTCATTGTAACATGGTGACACATACAACAAAATTTTGTTTGGAGCCGATGGCCCCGGGCCACTGTATGCATACGCGCCGCCATCATTGGCAACTTGGGGAGTTTCAGTGTCTTGCCCAAGGACACTTCAACATGTGGACTGCAGGCACCAAGATTCAAACCTTCAACCTTCCGGTTGGGAGATCACTGCTCTGCCCACTGCACCACTGTCACCCCCTAATTAGCTCTTCTGTCATGGTTATTCCTATCTCCACCTACAACTGCAAGTCTTTGTGTTTTGATAACAGACTTTACTTCTTTTCCTGAATTAAACTCTTTACAGTACAAGGGAGCTTGGCTTGGCAGAGATATCCCTCTAGGCTGTTTCTGGAAGAATCATTGCAAATACACATGTCCATGGCTGAAGGGGTTTCCATTTTTTCTTTCCAACTGGAGCTCTCTACTGTAATTTCAGTAAGATACTGAAATCACACTTTCTGACAGGTGCTTAATAGGGAGACAGTGATGACAGTCCTAGGAAACACCTGCTCAGAAGTGATGGTCATATGTCAAGAAACCAAAAAGAGAATTCTCTAATGGTTTCTGGCATCTAGAAATGTGCACAAATTCCACTTGCTCTGAACATGAATCAACTTGTTTCCAGAAGAAGTTCTGTTCTCGATACAGTGGCATTTAGGAGGAGAGGAATTATCGCATCTCACTGACCGAGTTAGTAAAATTAGTGTCCTAGAAAAATTCAGGTTTCATGAACATTGATGTTAAGTTGTTCAGTTACTGCAGTGCACAGCAGTTACAGTCTCACTACTACACCTGACTTGTGGTTTTAAGTCTGGATGATTGTCAGTGTGTGTTGCTGTGGAAATCGGATGTGATTTACCGCCTCATCTCTCCTCCCTTCTCTCAGAGCGGTTAAGTGACAGGTCAGGACATGCTGGGAAACCATATCCTCTGCCTCTTTGATCTGCTAATGGAGACAAACAGGACCACGGATGGATGGCTACCGTAACGACAGGCTGCCACAACTGCCTCTGCACTGGTACAGTAAGATAAAAACTGTTTCCCCCTGTGGTTAGTCTTCCCTAGTGGACTGTAAGCAGAGTAGAAACCACCTCCAATCTCTCTGTCAGTTTGGAGCTCACAGACACAGGTTGTAGGCAATGATATGGCCAAAAATATGTGGACACCTAAAAGTTGTGACTCCTGTACATCTCGTTGTGTTATCATGTGCATTTTAACAGCATAAAACCTGCTCCAGGCCATATACAATAAAGGAGTCCAGGACACTCTGTTCACATATTTTTGGTCATATATTCTAAAACAAATTTTCATCTAACAATAATCCAATTTAAATGCTGATGCTGTGGATTTTAGGCAAATTATTTATAGCCATTTTGATGGTGTTGTGTAGTGTAAAAGATTAATCTCATTTTGTAGGGTGAGATTCATACTGAGTTTGCTCTACCTTGGTTCACAGACCAGGTGAATTTGGAGGTGTCCGGGTCACAGAGGAGGCAAGGGCTGCTGGGATTGGAGTCTCCTTCTGCAAAACACATCCCTTCGATGTTACATGTCTGCTCCTGGCCAACAGAAACAGAGTCGACCAGGAAAAGGTTTTTTTGTTTGTATGCAGTACTCTTTGTTGATGTGTTGAGACAGAAATTGAAACATTATTAAACTTATATTTGTTTTCAGTCTGTGGTAAGAAACAGGAAATCAGCTCCGAATACATATCATATGCTTCATTTCCATTTAAGTTAATTGAGTTTGGTTCCGTTTTTCTCTTGGTGTCTGTGGGCATTCAGGTTGTTTGTAAGGTTACATGTTTTTCTGTTGTCATTCCCATAAAGAGCACTACTTCCAGTAACAAGATCCCCTCTGTATCTGCTTTTTAATGAATGTAGGGTTTTTAAATAGACATTTGAGGCATGTCTCTGCTTTAGTCATTCAGCCAGCTACAAGTTGTTTTATAACATGCTTTTCCATTAAACACCCACTGAGTCACATCTGTCTTCTAAATCTGTTTCCCATAGAAACTTGAGAGTCCAGGTTGTCTTTACAAGCGACCTGTTGCAGTCATGTGAATAAAAAAGCAGTAAGTTGTGTTAGCAAGGATAATTTGATTTGTTTAATTTATTTTGTTTGATGGTAAAATTGCCTGTTTTCAGTCAGCATTTAAAAGTCCCCAATGTGAGAGAGATAAACAACTTAGCACGGAGAAAAACTGTTCACTTTTGTATGTGAGTTACCTTTAACTTACAGAGTCCTGAGCGTGACGCCTCGCAGACCTGGCAAACCCCATCATAGATTGTCAGCACCTTGGGCTGGCTGTACTGGGAGCCATCATTGGTCACCTGGGACAGGAAAGGTAGGAGATACACTAAAACAGTTTCAGACAACAAACAACAAAAAGCAATTTGATTGCAGGTTAAGAAGCAACATTACTGTAATCTCCCAGCGTGCATACGGTTTGTCATCCATCATGAAGTCTTCTGTGCTGATGGCTGTGTTGCTTAGGGGTGGGATGGTGCAGTCTAAAGCTCTGGAGCTGAGGAACGTGGCTTTTGTTCTCTGTTTTTCCCCTGGAACCCAAACTCCGTTCATGTACTGTGGAGGCAGATCAACGCACTTTAATGGAAGTATTTTTTTTTTAAAAAAAAGCTTCTGCTTGAAGGCAGGGTCTCAATCTGGTATTCCCTCACCTTCAGTCTGGTAGCATGGCAGCTCAGGTTGGGAGAGTCGATGAAGCCAAGGCCAAAGACCCGGACGCTGCGACAGTCGAAGCCTTGAATGTCACAAAGTCCTCCATTCTCCAAATCTGTTAGCTCTACTGGCTGGTCTATATGAGGAGAGATTATTGTTTGTTTATGAGTGAATTACTGGTGAAACAAAGGAGAGAATATAAATTATTTCTGCAGCTAATTAGAATAGAGATTCTTACAGTCAGAAAACAAATGCCCCTAGACACTAAGCTCAGCAGAGAAATGCCTAAATACTCACTGATGGCCAGGCTGCAGTCGTAGAAGCTGTAGCTGGGATAACACTGGCAGCCCCATTCTGTACACTCTCCATTTCCATTGCAAAAGTTGGGGCAGCGCAGCGCCATCACAACTTTCCCAGATACTTCTGGTGGATCAGCGACCTCCAGGGCCCTCTGGGTTCTGTTCTCTAATAGCCTTCTCTCACATTCATTCTGCAGGTATGGCAGTAGCGCATCCTCCCAGCCCAGGTCATCTTTGAGCTGCAGGTCCAGGATGCAGAGATCCACTGCCTCGTCCAGGCGGCGTCCCAGCAGCTCCTGGCACACTTCACCAACAGTGGAGTTGACCAAAGCCATCTGGCACACCTCCAGAGCTTTGGCCGAGGTCAGGCCGCTCGGCGTGGGCCACTGTGGTTGCACCTCGGGTCGGGCTTCTGCCAGGTGATCCTCTGAGAAGAAGTAAGCAAAGTTCCCCAGATGAGCCTGGCTAAGGCTCTGAGCAGTGAAAACAGGCTGGAATTCAAATGATACCTGTCTCCTCGATCTGTCAATAGACAGCAGGGAATCTTCCCTGAACTCAGTGTCCAGTTTATAGTCGCCACTGTTTTGATTGTTTTTGCTATGAAAATGAATATGCGTCCTCTCCAGAGGGTGACTGTGATAGGCAGACATATCCAGGATGCTTTCTTCTCTTTCTGGACTATTGAGGTATTCCACTGTTGTGTCAATAGAGGGGAACACAGATGTGTAATCCACATTATTGTATGCTGTGCATTCAGAGTAAGCAGAGGGATTGTACAGCGTCCTCATCCTTCTGTCCTTGTGATGGGAAGTTCTATACTCTTTCTGGCACTGACAGAAAGGCTTCCTGACCTCCTGCACTGTCCCAGGAGGTGTCTTGTCAAATAAACTCTGACCAGGAGCTACCCTAGCACGCGCACAAAACAAGGGAAAACCACAGAATCAAATTGCTTTGTAGAGACTTTAAAGAATTTACAATTTCAAAATGAAGTCTCAACAAACACACTAATGTCACAGACTGACCTCCAGTCCTCAATGAAGTGATGCAGGTCACTGGGGCCATAGGGGTCACCATCAGAGCTGTAGAAGTCGTTGTTGCCATTGCGGTCAAAGGTGCCACAGAGGCCTTGTGTGTTGCTGTAGTCAACGCTGGGCGCCCGGACAGACAGGCTCATTCCCCAGTCATTGACATCGGCCCTAACAAAGGCCCCGGAGGGAAATATCAACTACAGGAGGAGAGTCAAATCCAACAGCTAATTAACATCATCTCCTCATGCTGCAGAAGTAAAATGTTTGAACATAGAAGAGCTGGGCATGTTTGATTAAATGTATGTCATGCATGTAATTAAAGTCAAGATTCCTCATGCAACTGACAGGACATGGTTCATGAAAGAAGCACACAGGTAATGCTTCTCCAACCAAATCTGTACCTGTGTCAAAACGCTCAGATACCTACAGTGACCTTCTTCCCCTGGTGGGACTCCAGCACCCTGACCCGAGTGCCCTCCTCATTGCCAAGGTTCTTTAGGCGAAGCTGTGGCCTGGTTTCCTGCAGCTGACCATTGCACATGTCAAAAATGCCAACCTCGTTTCCTTCTCGAACCGCAACGCCACAGTTGCAGGCAACAGCATAGTGTCGACTGCCGCAGTCCCATTGACGAGAGTGAACCTCAAATTCTCTGGTGAGGCTCCGATAAAGGATGAAGGTACCAGTCTGGTGATTGTCATAACGCCTGCACATAGCATAGTGACAGGAGGAGATGCTGATATCTAAGTTAATCTGCTGGTTTACTATGCCACACTGAAACCTAACTAATCAGATCTAAGGACCTTTCATTTGAACAGTATTATAGATTGATTCATATTACCATCTGATAACTACTGACAACTTCTTATTACCTGCCGTCGAGTGTAATGATATGTGGGTCGGTCAGAGAGTAGCAGATGGAAGTGGGAACATCCTGGACGGTGACCTGGGGGCAGAGGTCATGAGAACAAAGATTAGGGGGAGCTCCACCCTTTGACCCTCAGACCTTGGCCTTTGATGCTTTCATTAAACACAGATGGGAAGGCTCCTCTGCAGGGGGCCCCTCACAGACATGATGTCTGGAGGGCTGACATCATGTCCTACATAACTTAATAGCTGGTGTGGACACAGCTAATGGTGCTCCAAAAACACCAAGTCAAACAAACAGTCAGGCACACCCCCACCCCACCCTGCCCACCAACTTCATAAAGCACTTCATAACTGTGTGGATATGTAAACACTTTGGCAGAGGAACCTGTAATAAAAGCCATACTTCTAATACTCTCTGATTAAGTTAATATGTTTATAATTAAGCCACACAGCTGTTACTTTGTTCCTCATTTAGTCCTACACCATGGGCCCCCCATGATAATTCAAGATAGCTCTCAAGGACTCCTGGAGGTCCACAGGAACCCCTGTAAGTCCTTACATCATATGCAGTTTGCATAACACAGGGGCCTAATATTAGGAATCCCTACAACAAAATTACTTTTGGAATATCCACAAGGGTTCCCTGGTTCCTGTGAGACAACTTTCATCTTTTAAATGAGCCTGAAGAACTTGTGGTAGTTTCCCAGGGGCCCCTGAAGTGTCTTCAGTGACAGTGTCTCAAATATTACCCAAATCCACAAAAAGCTTCTAAGGGGACACTGAGCATTTAAGTCCCATGCAACTTGTATGCCTCAAATTCCAATTATCCCAGACCTCCAGTACCACAGAAAATCCTTTAAAAGATCCCCAGTATAACCTTAAGAATGGTTTGAACTTTATGAACCCTAGAAAGCAGGGATCCTTAAAAATCCTTAAGAAATTCTTAAGCTCAATACAGACTTTTGGTATGCACACTAATGAGGAAACATCAGATTTATCTATGGTTACTTAAGAACCTTTCACTCAGCTCACTTTAAGGGATGTTGGGATGTAGCTTCTCCAGACTCGTGGTGCGCTGGGTCCAGACAGGGCCTCAACCAGGCTCAGACGGTTCCCATCACGTGTGAAATCAGTGACAGCAGTAACGAAAAATGTCACCTGACCGCAGCTGCCAGCGTTACAGCCGCTCGGCTGGAGCTCCACCTCGCAGGTGGACAGTGCCACATTTAAGGCCTCTTGTCCGAGACTGTCTGTGGATGTCAACACAGCAGTAAGTCAGTGTTAACGGACAGCACACAGCTGCCTGCAGAGCCGTAATAATGTCTTCCTGTCCTGGCTGTGATGTGATGATGTACAGGGCAAGCCAGAGCACAACAGAGGGAAAATCCAAATAGGAAAGAGGAAACTATGTAAAAAGCAGAGAGGAAGAAGCATGAAGTCAACAACCTGAACCTTTAATCATCTTTAACCTAACAAGCTCCTTTTTCAGGGGATCTTTGTTTTTACTAAAAGACTGAAGAGCCAGTATGCGTAGACTCGCCTGTCATGTGCTGCCAAAAACGAGACAGCCAGTTAGGAACTGTTGTTTTGCTTTGACTTCATTCACTAGACATTATTATGGTCATTAAAGGTTGAAGAAGCTTCTAACCACACTTGCATCTTTCAGAGATGACAGGATCCTCAGAGCTCTGATATATATTCATAAAAAGCTCAGGTCCCAATTATTAATTTCAGTTCCTCTAATCTGTGTTTTGGTCATAAATCTAAAACTGTCTAATTTTGGGGATGTGTAGGTTGTGTGGTCAGCTGTGGTTGTTGCAGGCCCATCCCACTCCCAAATGTCCAAACAACTTAACAAAACGAGTAACTTGCAGTATACTCAAACTGTAAGCTTCTTTACAGAAAAGTATGGATGATGACACAGACCATGTCTCTTTCCTGCAGGTCTGACCTGGGTCATGGATGCTCAGAGCCAGAGGAAGTCCACAACGGTGGCCGTGGCTGTGGTTGTAGCAGGGGATGGGCACTGTGCTGTGGATGGTTACCTCATGCTCCTTACCATTCTCTGCTATGTGGAGTGAGTCTGGAGAAAACTGAAGCACAAGAAGGAAAAAATTGATACAGGTGAGTTTGGTGACTATGAGGTTTGTATTTTTCTCAGTTTGTCCCTGCATAAAGGAATTAAGTTCTTCTTATCCTGGTGTAGACAGGAGTTAACACAAGAATATTTACCTTCAGCCCAGCATAGAAACTCTCACTTTCTTTTGGGGTTGATTTGATGTGGCTGGAGTTGGCTATGAACGTTGACACGCTGCAGGAGAACTGCAAAGAAAAATAAAGGTGTAGGAGAAGTTTTGTCCTTTTGTCAGAGTTTGATTCCATAAACAACAAACATTTCAGACAGAGATCAACTCTTGTTGTGTTGTTAAACTCGTGGTTCCTTTTTAAACCTAAGCTAACATCACACCAGTTTCCCTAATTTTTGACATTAAGGACCTGGGCCATATTTATCAAGCATCTCAGAATCCCTCCCAGGAGCAAGGCTGAAAGTTACCTTAGGATTAAAAACACTCCTGTTTCAGAGTCAGACCACCACTTGTCAAATTAAGGCTTTATATGCTGTTATCAACACATAACACAGTCATTACATGTTGTAATAATATGCTTTATATCATTTTCTGTAATAAGCTGGAGGTTTATTGGGAAGTCACTACTAAAGCTGTGTATCCAGAGGGCTCATGATTAATGCTAATAAAATGTCGCTGCTGTCATTGAGGACCTTTGGGTCATGTGAGAATCTGACCATGTCCATTACCACATGTGCCACTGATGAGTCCAACAAATCCAAGGAAACCATCAATTTGCATAATTGATCAAAGTTTGTGGGAATTTGGCAAATCATCACTGTTGCAAAGCTAAAGCCACGCAAACAGAAAAGTTGAGGAAACAGCATGTGTTCGTCTTGCTGATGGAGGAATTACATCCTGCACATGCTCAGTCACAAAGATGTTTTGTTCCGATGGTATCTTATAATGAGCTCGGTGTCAAAGGTGTTAGTAAAACATCTCTGGTCTTTTAGCACATACTATCTCTGTCTAAACGCTACTGCCTGGCAGCTCCCAAACAGTTGGGACACCTCTTGAGCTCTCCTACATTTTGGTGGAAATAAGAATGATTTCCTAATTTAGGAATGCTGATAAATTTCTCTTACCTTTACTCCTAAAGGTTGTAGCAAAAATGCATCATTCTGAGATTGTTTGGCTCAGACATGCTTGATAGATACGGGCCCAGGACAACTTTTTGTGTCATATGACCTGTGTTTGGTTTTTTTGGTGAAATTACCAAGAGAACCAGTGCTTTAAATTCCTCCACTCTGTGGTTGTTAGCCATGAAAAAGACTAACAATCTGCGACTGACACTGTATTTGTGATATTTCTAAACACTTCTCCATGTAGCCAACAGTAGAGTGCTTTTCTCTCTCGGGGTTACAACAATGAAGGTGACCTTTGAAAAGCTCGGTTACAGTATCAGCATGTTAAAGATGGGCTCGTAAGCGAGCTCTGCAACACGTTCCAGACTCAGCTAATACAAGCCTGGTGTCCAAATATGGCAGCACAACATTCCCCAGGCATTCGAGGTCAAATAGTGAGAGTGACATCACCTCTGTTTCAAATAGCATCATGTAGAAAACTGAATAACTTAATGTTTCCTGTCAGCACCATCTGTGTCAGGGCTGTTCAGAAACAAGGCAGTGGAGCAGGCTGTCAGTGCTCTGGAAGGAGGTTTACTCACAACTCACAATTATTCATCTCAGTGGAAGTAAGAAAGTCAGCTTTAGTCGGAAGAAAGCAGCTTGTAACGTAACCTATCTGTGGCTGCCTAATGATCCTATAGCCACGGCTCAGCTGACACTTTCCTTCAATTGCTGGATTTGTGTAATTTCTTCCACTTCTCCCTGCTGCTCAGATTTAGTTTTATTCAGCCTCACAAGAACAAATGTCCTCAATTTTTCAGCTAATTGGTCAGCATTTCTGGTGGAGCCACTGTTCCAAAAAGCACTGTGGAAAGACGAACAAAGCAAAGTTCCAGTGTTCAGAGGTGGTGCAAGTTGCCACTTCCTTATTCCTTGCCAGTTCTACTCACCACACTCCAAAATGGAGATTTAATGACTCCAAACAAGTTAAGGTTGGAGCTGTAAACCCATAAACAAGAGCAACAAACCCTCCTGTGTAGGAAACCTGTTACACAACACAATAAACTGCTTCATTTTAAATGTGTGTATCTGTCCATAGAATCCCTAGAATTCACTGTGAAGATTTGAATGGAGAGGTTTAAATGGAAAGCATGTGGAGCAGGGCTATCCAATCTGCAAATGATTTAACTTCCCCAACCTCCTCTTACCATCATTTAATGAAATATGACACACTTTGTCTGTCTTGCTGTGTTTTGCAAGGCTGAACCGAGGCAGAGAGGGTCAGTATGATCCATGGCTGAGGTTGCCATTGTTGTGCTTTCAGAACTGTCTCGCAGGGGTTACCGTTTCTCCGAGTCGGAAGTGAACACCATCCATCTCCACCAGAGAGAAGGGCTTCAGTGTGGACTCCCGCCTGATCTCAGCCTTCATGTTCTGGCTGACGTGTCTGGCCCAAACCACCTGGAATGCTAGCGGCTGGCTCCACGGCAGCAAGATGAAAGTACACCTCAGATGGATGCTGTGGCCAACCAGCTCCGGGATGATCACTGGCCGAGATGGCAAAGACGGAACTGCAGCTGAAAACACAGTTAGGCAATTAAGGATTACAAACATGATAGTCTACTCCCTCAGTTTGCTGTCATTCATAGTGCAGTGCAGTGTGGGGGGAGATCAACTGTCTGTTGGATGGTCAAAGTGCAAACAACATTGTAATTTGTGTCAAAGGTTTTTTAAGACTCATACCTTTGCATCGGCCGTTGACTTTGGTCTCACCTGGTGGGCAGTGTTCTGGTCCCAAATCAGGAGTGACTGAAACATGAGATTTATCAGATATCTTTCATTGGACATTTTGGTTATTGTGAAGAAAAAGTGTTATTTTATCTCAGTTTGCTTCTTATATCCATCAAAATCAAAATTATCTTAACTGTGTTAATGTTTGACGTAGGAAACAATCCTAACTTCCGGGTGTATCTCATGGTCTTTTGGCCAACTGCTGTTTTCAAGGTCAAGAACGAACTGTCATAACTACTGATAACAGATCTGTCTGAGTGCTTCCACTGCTGAGGCTTTGTGATACAGTTGAAGCTAGATATTGAGATGTTACACTTTAGATATCCCTAGTGCATCATTTGCTAACTTTAGCTTAAATGCTTGACTTTGGCCACCAGTGCCCCGCCCTACATCATGCGCTCTTTCTACCGGGGGACCATTGAAAGCGTCATCACTGGCTGCATCACTGTGTGGTACGGAGCCTGCACTGCCTCCTGCAGAAGGACCCTGCAATGCATAGTGAATACAGCCAGTAAGATCATCAGTGCCCCTCTGCCTTCCCTCACGGACATTTTTAACACCCGCCTCACCTGTACAGCCATCAACATTGCTGATGAAACCTCCCACCCCACACACTCCTTCAGGGAGAAGGTATCGGAGTCTTCAGGCCCACTCCACCAGACTTACAAACAGCTTCATCCACCAGGCTGTGAGGATGCTGAACACTGTCCATTACCTCCCCTCCTCTGCCCCCTGTCCCTGGACTGTGATCCACCACAGAACATAAAAAGACTACCTCTGCTGTTCTGCACAAACCCAGTACATTCCCCCTTCTTGTTGTATTACATGTAAATCTGCTGCTGTTAGTCATTTGCACTGCTGTCCATGTGCATCTCAATCTCACAACCATCTGACAATCTTCTTTCTATTATTTGCATTACTGTCACTGATTGTACATGGTTTGAGTCATAGCCTATGAGGTTGTACCATTTAGTTTTCTTATTCTTTTCTAGTCTATTTTTACTCTACTTTTATTCTATATTAGTTTCCTAAATTGTATGGCATTCAATCCTAGGTGAGAGAGAAGCAGTATTTCGATTTTCTGTATGTCCTGCACATACGTATAGTGAATTGACAATGAAAATCTTTGATCTTGATATACGTATATATATACGTATGTCGACCAGCATGCAACAGCATGTTAGCAGAAAATTATGTAGATGCCTCCATTATTTGCCATAGTTTGTCCATTAGAGAAGTCACTTTGACACTCTTGTTTTCTGACTGGTGTTTTGCAGTTTTACAGGACAACAAAACATTTACCAGCCCGTTGAGTGTGCTCACCTTTGGCACAGTAGCCCATGCACCCCTGCGTGGGCTGCAAGTAGTAGAGCAGGAACTCGCCACAGTTCCGCACTGTGACGGGGATGCGAAAGAGGCAGCAGTCCTTGGCACTGCCATGGAAGAACTGCCAGGTGGCACAGGCAGAAAGCTGGCGCACCTCGCCAGGCTGTGGCGTCCTTCAGTGACAGCCACACCGGAGCCTGTGTACCACAGCGGTTCATCTGCAGGAAGGCATCGATACAAACAGTTATTTTCTGCTGTGAGGGGGTTATTATACCTTCCAGCTGTGGCTGAAGGTGCCTATTATACCAGTCTACTGAGGCTGGGCTCAGGATGTCTGCTGATTTTTGGCAGGTGTATGAGATGATTTCTTTTTTGATTTTGATAGTAGTCACAGTAGAGACACAGGAAGGAGAGTGGAAGAAGTATGTTCAGTGGTGTGAAAACAAGCACTCTGTGGCAGAACTGGCCTGTTATTTTAGTGTCTTACCTCAACGCAGGAGGTCGGCATCTCTGCTGGTTTGTTGGTGATCCTGAATCTGTACCAGCCGGGCAGCAGCGAGTGGTCACAGATCAGGTCCTGGATGGCTGTGTTCTGGATCTCTGTGGAGTCAAAGTCAACACTGCGATATGGATTACGCAAAGTCTGATGACCTCCTGGGAAGCACTCTGGAGCTGAGAATGACAAGGAAACATCAAACTGTGAACTCCAGACTGGAGTCTGGTGCAGCCGAAAGAAGGCAAGCACTGAAACAGAGACTATTTGGAAAACAACATTGTATTTTTTACACTGAAATTTCTTTGACAAAAGGTTTCTGAGAAATAAAGTACCAAACCTGCAAGAAGAGTGAATGTAGACATAAAGAACACGGATCTTCAGCAGTGTGTTTATATGCCTTCATCTTCACCATCAAAAGGTGACTGAATTACACATACAAGTTGGTCTTTAAAGTGTCAGTGTTAAACAGGTGAGCAGGAAGGATCATTTCATCCCCAGACGTTATCTAAATCGTTAAGAATAACAGACGTTCCTGTGAGCTTTTTGCCTCCCTGAACTCACCCCAGGAAAGGATGCTAAAGCCAATGACACATGACTGGCCTCTGAACACTGCCTGCAGCTGGAGGATGAAACGGGGGAGTTACTTAAGCAGAACATGCAATTTTCCACAAAAATCACACCAACCCTACATCTGTGAGGTGAAATGGGTCGTCAACTGAGCCCTTCCCTGGCAAAGCTAAACACGAAGAACAAATCACTCTTTCACCTCCAGAGAATGAAACTTTTCCTTGTTTGTGGTTGATTGTGGAGGCCGAGTAAAGTCACATCAGGGAAAACAAACTTCTGGGGTATTTAGGATTTCTTTAGACTGTCAAAGCCTTGAATGGACAGGGCAAAGTTACTGCCAGTGATCCCAAACCTAAACAAGCTTTTGCAGGCTGGTCTTTATGTTGACAGTCCCTTGAAAGCAAATGTTCTTGTTTACATCGTCTCCTGACTGCGCGTACGCCTCGTCTGGAAGCTCCACTAACAAGAGTCGAGGTCACAGGTTGTGCAAACAACCAGGTTTTCAGGGAGGAGGACAATTGATGAGACTTTGGCTGCAGGCTAAGGGGCGGACGAGAGTAGAGGGGGGGGGGGGGGGGGGGGGGGGGGGGGAGCTAATGAACTGGCCCTGTGGAAAAGCAGATCTCGCTGGGAGGGAGGCCCTCAGTAGCCCAGATGTGCAGTTTCTCAGGAAAGACTGATCTGGGAGAGTGTGGTGTTAACATAGCTGAGGTTAGTGGTGTTTTCCCCAGAGGGCTCAAACAGAAACATCAGAGTCAGACCAGCACAGGAAAGCTTCTGGCTCCTGATGCCATCTGAAACCAGTTGGATGATACTGTATAAACCTCCTTATCACCGGTTACAGCTGTTTTGTGGTAGATAACACTTGTCATGCTTCATTGTCTGCTTTTAAAAGCAGAGTTTGATGGATATCGGTTTTTAAAGACCAGTAGTGATTGAAGAGGTTTCAGGCTGAAGCACCTGATGATTAAATAACTTTTCTTTGTGTGCGACAATGACAAAAAATACATTTTCCCTCAAGTTTCAGTGTTGGCAAGGTAGAAAAGCAGCATTTATACCAATTGAAAGACACAAGAACCTCTCAAATGAAACTCTGGACAAGAGGAAAAGGAAGAATATTTTAAAGTAAGAGTCATTTAAGTGAAAGGGTTGGAGTTAAATGATCACAGTGGTGAATCATGCAACGATGACTGGCTAGAATAAGATATTTGGCCACACTAACGACATAGTTCATGGAAGCTAGTGTTGATCTGTCAGGCGGCGGATGGACACACAGATCTTCATGGTACCCAGAGGATGAATCTTAATGATTTTTGTGATCCCCTGACTTTAGCAGTTTTTGTTTGTCAGCACACCCTGATCGATTTTTTTAAATCATCACTGGCATCTTCATGGAAACTGTTGCAGTGTATGCTGTGTACCTGATAACAAATGCTAATGTCAGTGTTTTGTTTTATGCTAATCACGTATTTCAGCTTTGACAGTGAGATCCACAAATGTTTTATTTTTTTCCCTTTAAAATCACTTTGTTCAGATAGTTTGTCAAAGTATATCACATTTTCACTGATTAGGAATAGTAAAACCTGCAATGCCCTCTGCAACCTTAAACCTCAAATATACTACATCATATAATTATGTAAAATCTTTGGAACCTTAGAAACTAGACCTGAGAATCAATTTCAGCGGATTAATGAACAAATCTCCTGGAGCTCCAGGCGTTGTGTCCAACTTTGTTTTGGCCCAGAAATGCCTGGTCTTGCAAAGCTTTTCATTTTATAGCCTTGTGCCTTAAAGTTTACAGCTGTGGGCTTTGATGGTGTTAGACGCCCTGGAGACAGCAGCTCCAAGTTTAATTGGACTGGGGGTACTGGTCTCCAGTTATATCATTCTAATCTGATGTGAGGTGCCTTGGGTGCATAAAATAGCTTTTTGATGATCCCACTGAGTATACAATTATATGTAATGTTTGTACTGTCAAATGTATTACGCTTTGTGCAAGTGAATGACTACACATGTCACTGCACTGCTTGCAGAAGAACAGGATGGGAGAAGGTGTGTGACTAAACTGTGAAAATGAGAAGTATGGATGGATACTACTGAGCAACATCTGTTATCTACAAGTCTATCTTTTTAAATCTTGTTTCAGTTGTGAGGACAATTTCTGAAGCTGTTTACAAGTCGGCTGATACTTTTATTTCGAGTCATGTTATTTGTGGCATTTCCTTGACTTTTCCTTTAGTTCTTCCTAATTGTAATTCAATTCAAGGTAGTAGTTTTACGTCTCACATCCACGACTCTCGCCTGTTGAAGTGATAATTCGCTAATACTTTCCGAAGATTCCTGACAAAGGATGCAAGAATTTTACGTCAGTTAAAGAACTTTTACATAAATTAAAATGCGTTTAGAACAAAATTAGACACATTTTCTTTTTACTCCATTTTCTTTGAGTTACAAGCTTCGTTTTGTTTCCTTTGCTTCTGCTTTTTATACAAGGAAACGCTGATTAGAAACGACACGTGAAGCTCTGGATTGCATTATACATCTGCTTCGATTTTGAATGATCGTTAAAATGAAAGTAGTTTTCTATCTTAGAGGTAAAACCATCAGCTGCACATGAATGTGAGCCATAACAAAGTTTTCCATCCACTCACCATGTTGCGCAAACGCTAATAATTGCACGGTCCACAGCAGCGCGATGCGCAAATGCCGAGAGAAGAACAGACGCACCGAACTAAATGCGCAACAGTCCATAGCTGCGGCTCTGGGTTAATTAGATGCAGCAGAATGGCCTCAGTCGTGTGGTCCCATTGAAAATGAGGAGAAACGGTGTAAAAGTGGCGCAAACCGTGCTTAATTCCCAGCTCTCAGTTGGTAATCAGAGAAAAGAGACTTAAATGTGCGCTCTGCTGGCTGCGGATGTCCTCGTGCAAACCGTGCAAAATGACAGAGAGAAGAGGAGGGAGGAGACACCTTTCCACCGAGGAGTCTGTTCCTGTAGGTGGGTCCTCTGTTATCCCCGAAACAAGCGTCTCTCCATCAACAACAGTTGGAGACAAATCAATAAATGATTCATCCCGAGCTGAAATCCTGTCAGATGTGCCTCCACTGCTTCATCACGGTTGGTTACTGTATAAACACTTTGTGCTCGGTGCGCTTCCGAACTTCAATGACTGTTTAGACTCACTGCTGGAAACCATGAGCCACAGATCCGTGCGTGAATACGAGCAAAATTAAAGAAAAACGTCAGATGAAAAGCATCGGAGAGCAGAAACCTCGAACATGTTGATGCGTCATGGTTCCACAACAATCCAAAGTCCCCAGTTATTTTTAGCCAAATTATGACATACATTTTTCGAGCAGTTTCAAACACAAAGTGGAAGAATTTACAGGAATTCGGTTTAATATTTGAGATTTCCACTCTGTACTTAACTGATAGTTAAGACATTTGTACAACAGTACATGTAGCTACTTCTATACAGTTGTTTGTATTCAGTAGGCTACACTTGTATGTACTGCACAATGTGTCTACAGCTGTAGACGAAGTGAGTGGCCAGAGAAACAGGAGGATAAAACAAAGCGTGTAAAAGGTTAAGGTTAAAACTCCGTTTCTATAAACCTGTCTGTTTTTACTCGTTTCTCCCTGTGTACTTAATAAAAATGCATCAAGTATATCTTAAATTTTCACACTGGTGCACAAGTAACAAAATATATACAATACTTAATACTTTTCTAATCACTATGCTAAATTTATAAAAAGATAACAAGTACAGCTGACTCCAAAATTCCAATAATGTCTTTTAGTTTTACTCTTAAAGGCACCTTTTCCATTTTTAAAGCAGAGGCAAACTCCTCTTCATGTGAAGTGTCTGAGATGATTTGAGCCTAGGGGAGGTGGGAACCTCCAGAGACAAACCAGACCAGCTTGGCCTCCAGAGTGCTGAGTAAATATCAGGTACTTGGAGGCTTCAGAGACAAAAAGGTAGATATTTCCACTAAATAAAAGACCTAGGAGGAGCAGCAGGTGTTTTGTACTCACCTTTTCATTCAGATTTCATGTCAGACCTTCAATTTTCAGACCTGAGACACTAATGTTTGCACCTCTTTTCTTCTGTGCAGTACAGAACGTGAGAAAAATATGGCCTGCCAATCAATTGGCTGTCTGTTTTAGTCCATTTGCCTTTAACACAAACTCACATTTACTCACTCCCATAACAGTCCCAGACTGATCCTCAAAGAGCTGAGCCTTTCTTGCATGTTCTGTCCAATCATGTGGCAGTTCTCTGTGTGGCTAAAAGCTGATTGGTTTACACTCATGGTGACCTCTCAGTGATATGTTTGAACAGGAAATACATCACATGAACTTGACTAAAGACTTTTAGCTTTTAATCCAGAATGAGATGTATATCAACAACACTTTGTTGGGTGGGAGGGCTGGAGTGTTTTTGTGAGTATTAATCTTACACAAGTTTACACAATTGTAATGACAACTGGGCCAACACCAGCTGCTGATGAAGACTATAGACTTGGTGGGGAGCTTGTGTTTGTTTAGGAGTCAAAAAGCCACAGATATGTCCTGGCTGTCTTACCTCAGCAACTTAGTTTACCACAGGAAAAAGTCCTGTAAAGCAGTTGTAGCCAGAGACTTTTAAATTCACTTCTATACAGCATATATGTTCCAGTTTGATGAAACTGCACCATTCACTCCCATGCTTTGTTGCACTATGCACAAGTTTTAGGCACTTCAGTTGTTTAGATTCTTATTCATCATCAAGCATCTGATCAATTCAAAAACTGATTCTACAGCATGACAACAGATGTAATGTATGTTGTACTGGACTGTACTGGACTGTACTGGACTGCAATATGTTCAGAGATGTTTGGGCTCCTTCTTGGTTGTAAATAAAGAGGACAAAAATCAAGTAGTCTTGTCTGTTTTGCATATCAAACATGAGCAGAAATAGAACAGTATATGTTGACATATTGGCCAAGATAGAACCAACTAAAACCTCAGTCTGGCAGTGAAACCTTTTGTCTTTGTGTCTCCTGTGCTAACACCTGTCCACGCTGCATTCTTGAGAACCTCCTCCTGCACCCAGACTGCAGTGCCGGTGGCTCCTTGCTCTCTCCAGGAGAGAAGACATCATCTTTGGCCTCGTTTGATGTTTGTTCCCTGAGACGTGACAAGGGGGCAGGTTTCAGTCCTGCCTCCTGAGCACCTCCAGATGTCACACATCCTCTTTTACTGTGAGAAAAACAAGGGAAGAACATACATGAGGCACGTGGCCCTACACATCTTGCACCCATATTGTGTCTGCACTCTTAAAAACCATGCGTCATTTGGAACCTGTCTGTGTGCTTAGCTTTCCAATACAGCAACTTGTGTTTCCCACTAACATGGCATGTTTGTAATGACATAAGCAGACATGTTATGTTGGAAAATGATTGCTTTGTCCCTGTATCTTGGAGGAATTACAGCAAGATAAGACATTACACCTAAAGTCCTAACACTCATTTCCTGTCAAGTCTCCATATTGAATTTAAAATAGATTTTAAAATTATAGCAGCAGCCTACTTATCTGACATGTTTCCTGTATAGGAACCAGTGTGGCCTCTAAGATCCTCTGGCCTGAGTCTGGATTTGGTCCAAAGTGCAGGACAAAAACCTTTGGTGAGGCACATTTTGATCGGTTTGAACGTTTTACTTTTTATTTATTCTGTAGGCTATTATTGTCAGGAATTGTATGGAAGCATAATGAGAGCCGCTGTTCCGCTGACCAATAAAGCCAATTCAGATTCCTTATCTATTTTATTTGTAGCTATAGCCAATTTGTTTGACATATTGATTGTCTTATTGATTTTTTTGATTTATAGTCCAATTTAATTTGTACCTAATTACCTTAATCTGCCTTTGTCATTCATCTATAAAGCATATTGAATTGCATGAACTTGAACAACAGGAAATGCACTATAAAAAGAGTGAGTGATGTTTTGGTCAGATGGTCATCAAGGCTGTTTGACACAATCATGTGACAAAATAGTCATCCAAATCAAGTCACTCCATTAAAAGCGAGTTAACATCTGTTGTAAAAACCTGGCTTGTTACGTAAAATAAAACATCAAAGCAAAAGACTAAACACAAACCTGTGCCACAGGTGGGCGTGCTTCCATTTGGCACACGCAAAGGATCCACCTGAACCTCATTTCCCCCAATAAACTGCCTCGGTGTCTGAATTAGGTACATCTATGATTTGTTTACGTTAATATTTCTGTTAAGGTGGTGCTTTTGAGGTAGGACCAAAGAATGCAGACTACCAGGGTGTGAAATGAGAAAGAGTTTATTATTCTTCAAGAGTCAAATCACTGAGTGGATGTGAGAGGGAACAGGGGCCGAGCAGGAACTGGGCTGGCAGGTAAGTAGCGAAACACTGAGAGCAGGTTGGACAGGAACCAGGAGGACCAGAGGACCGTGACGTACAGGTGAACGAGGCAGCTGCGGCTCTGGGTACAGGGTGGCTGGACTGCAGGTAAGAGCAGAAGTTAACTTAGAGCTGTTTGTGAAAGTTTCACAGACACTCCATCAAATGTCTTCATACATCTAGATTGGATTTATGTTATCTTAACGTTTAGTGTAATAGTAAAACATCTACAATTGTATAATTTGATGTTAAGTCAACGGTTAGCTTCAGTACCATGGACATAGATGAGGCTGAAGTTTACTTCTGATTCGGAGTTAGTGAAGGAATCCTAAGTTATAATGGAGCAACATGTTCTCCATGTTTTGCACCTTGTAACGTTGTGAAAGTTTAGCAGACATTCAAGAAAAACTCTTAACACTTAGTGGAAAACATTTTAAGTGTCTCCCCATGTACTCCCATCAGACCCAGTCAAGATCCAAAAAACCTAACCCAAATCAGGACTAAAGTATCAGGGAGAGTAAAGAGTATTTAAAACAGTTTCACGTTTGTGAAGCTTTTATTTGTGAAAATGATTAAAATAGTATTTTTACTGCTCTCATGCAAAACAGACAAGACTATTTGTTTATCTCCTCTCTATTTACCAACACGAAGGAGCCCAGACATCTCATCTGAACATACTGCAGTCCAGTATAACATACATTATATCTGTTGTCATGCTGCAGAATCAATTTGGGATTGATCAGATGCTTGATGATGAGACAGTGAATGAGAATCTAAATAACTGAAGTGCCTAAAACTTGTGCACAGTGCAACAAAGCATGGGAGGGAATGGTGTAGTTTCATCAAACTGGAGCAGATATGCTGTATAGAAGTGAATTTAAAAGTCTCTGGCTACAACTGCTTTACAGGACTTGTTTCCTGTGGTAAAATAAGTTGCTGAGGTAAGACAGCCAGGACATATCTGTGGCTTTTTGACTCCTAAACAGAAAAAAATCATCCTGGAGTGGGAACGTCCACTTCCATGTAACCAGTGAAGTCACATGATAGGAACAGAAGTGGTTGTTCCTTAAGATCCTTTGATTTTCTAGGTTGTATAGACAATCTAATACATGTTGATTTACAGTATTTTGTTGCCATCTAGTGGATATGAGGAAAAGTGAAGTACAGGAGACCGAGTCGACCAGGATCTGTGTGTCATACAATTTTAGTTTTACAACTTCCCTATCAAACTACATAGTCTTTCAATAGGGGGATTTTGTAGATCTGTCGGGGAACTTGAAAACACCTCAACTGGGAGAGACAGAATCTACAAAAAAATTCCAGTAAATCACATTGTTAGATTTTTTAATAATTTATTTCCATTTTATTGCATGAAATAAGTATTTGATCACCTACCAACCAGCAAGAATCCTGGCTCTTACAGACCTGTTAGTTTGTCTTTAAGAAGCCCTCCTATCCTCCACTCATTGCCTGTATTAATTGCACCTGTTTGAACTTGTTACCTGTATAAAAGACACCTGTCCACACACTCAATTTATCACACTCCAACTTCTCCACTATGGGCAAGACAGCAAGAGCTGTCTAAGGACACTAGGGACA